TATCTCTTATATTTAGTGGAGGAAAACAATTATGCCATCAGTTATGACATCACTTGCGCGACTCTGGGATTTGTAGTCTTTCTTGTTGCGTATTTTTCATTATTCTTATATTTCAACAGTTTTACGACAAACTGTGACTTTTTTTACATGGAAATTATTTGTTAAGATTGACAAACATCATATGAGTAATTCATGGCACAATTCAAACGGGATCGAAAGATAATTTGGTGGAGTTTTGAAACGTTTAAATACCATGTTAAATACCCCGCCAGATTGAAAAGGTGCACTCCATTTGAGCAGCAGTGCGGACCGGCGGCGTATGTATGTTGTTGTACTGTTGAGGATATAGTGTTCTTGAGTTTTTACATTTTCTGTTGTATCAACTGTAAAATTAAATAAATACAAAATATAATCAAAGTAATCATGTAGCAGGTAGCAATTACAATGATTGCAAACGTTACTAACTCTTCAGCATGAAAGAGATTAACACATGAATGCATTCATCATTAAAAATCAAATAATATAATACTTTCAAATGTATACTATTTTAATCCTTTATTTCAGGTATGTTTTATAAGAAATACTGACTGTTTTGTTATTTGGAGAGTGAATGTAGTCATTCCAACATTAACATCAGTCATGTATTTCCTAAACATAAGATTCCCTAGATGTCTAAAAAAATAAACAAGGATGAGAGACATTTGCGAAGCAAACCGCATCTGAAAGTGTAAGCCAACAGGAGCAAGACCCCAGAAGTTGAAACCGGTATGTGCCGGAATGTTTTGTTTTTTCATCCAGAGGCTGCTGGACTCAGTTTCCAGATGTGGTGTGTGTTTAGGCACCGAACAAAAAGTTACACAACCCCAGCCTCTGGGTTCACTGCGAGCACCAGTCTGTTCTCTCTGTGTGTTTACTTTGTTCCTGGAATAGCTCTGTATCGAGTACAAGTGAACCACTACCTGCCAAACACTGACTCTTCTACATACTGGTCCTTATCAGGCCATTTCAACCAACAGCTACGTGGACACCACTTATTATATTTAGGTATGAACAGAGTTCAAATCATGTTCTTAAAAAGGTCAGAGAAAGAGGTTTGTGCTAAAAACGTCTGCTTTGTTGTTGTGTGTGTGAAAGAACAGAGACGTGAATCCAACACAGAACATTAGGCTGCAAGAGTATACTTTATTGCATTTGCAATCACAGGGTGACAAAAGTGTAAAATGTTTAACAAAGGCAAGTGATGTGTATGCACCACACAGTGTGTATATGCAACACAGTATTACAAACACAGTACAAATGTAAAAAAAACACAAAAGGAGCTTATCAGTTATCATCGTCTTGTTTTTTTAGTTTTTTTATTCTTTTCAATTCAGCTTTTTCCTTGGTTATCAATACAAAAATCACACGGTTACAGAAACAGAAGCAGCCTATGTCTACAATGAATTATAATAACAGAAAATAACTAATAATGTTGTGGAACATCCTTCCGTCACCTAGCGTTGGTCATTGGTCCGATTTCCCCCCCCCCCCCCATCGTGGATCAGAGTGAGCTGCAGGATCAGGAGGAGGTTCCTGCGTCGCTGCGCTCACTCACCTGCCGTTGCATCACCATCTCCCTGGCAACGCAGGTGATCTGACCATTGGTCACTGCACCTTGGACCCTCGCCCTGAGAGACAAAGAGAGATGGAGATATTGTGAAACGCTATTCTTGATTCAGTATAATAGAAAGGGTGTGACTGTGTCAGACAGCTAAGGAGTGATTTGTTTACACAGGGACCGGTCTCAGCCTGTAGCCATTTCCAACTGCCAGCCAGGACAGGTATATTTGCTATGTCATGTATAAAGTAAAAGCTGAATACAGCGCAAAGCTCTGCTTTACTGCCAGGTTCTACCAATCCGCCACTTTCGGTATTGGATTGCGAAAACCCACTGCAAATATCATGTCAGGTTTTTTGGTAGCTTTATTTTACAAAATGTACAAATCTGTCTTGGACTCATCTGCAGCTCTAAATTGAAGCTCGACAAAGGTTTAAAAAAAAAAACAGCAGCTTTGCATTTTTAGTGAGTGTACAGAGAATGATCAGGATTAAAATAAGCCTAAGGAGCAATGGCAGCATTAGGAGATGAGTCAGCAGTGAGTGTGCGCATACTTACTTCTGCTGTGCCTCCTCAGTCAGTGGAGTCATCCCTGGCGGTTTCCCAAAGAAGAAACTGGACCACCAATGGCCAGAGTCCTGCTTAGGGAGTCCTGTGGAGGCCGATAATAAAGATACAGGTTTATACAGGGAACAAAGTATCTACTGTACATTGAACAAAGTCTTCATTATGAGCTGTACTAGAAATTGTTGCCACTTAATGAGAAAGACTTAAAAAAGGTCCCTATTATACTGTTTTTCATCAATATATTATAGCTCTCAGATATTTACAAAACATGTCTCTGAAGGGTTTGGCTCCAAACACCAAACAGATCATTGCAGCATCCCATGATCCCCTCTGTTTCAGCCCTGTTTCAAAAGTGCTGATTCTCTGTCTGTTATTTTAGATGAAAATAAGGAAACCCTCCCCCCACGCCCCTATGAGAGATATTTGGTTAAAAAGAACACAATGGTAATCTAGGAGGAGATTCAGGTGACAAGGTGATGGGGGGGGCTACCTTGGTTGCTGATTGGCTAATGGTTACACAAGTCAAAAAAATCATTATGACATCATAAAGTGGCCAAAATCTGATCAGCTCATTTTCAGACAGGTTTTTATATAAATGGATCAGGACAAAAAGTGAGGGGGTCTTTGTTCATGAAACTTTCAGAATCGTTTAATGCAGAGGGGACACGTGTTTATGTATAAAATATATGAAAAATTGGATTTTCAATAATAGGTGCCCTTTAACTTATTAAGCGTAAGAATGTAGACTACTGTGTGTGTTTGAGTTGAGTGTGTTTCATCAGCTACACTGAGTGAGCCATGACTCGGGTTTCCCCCTGTCAGCCCTCGGGTTTGGCTCTGTGACAGACTGCGACACCTTGGGTAGTGACTGAACAGCTGAATTTGCACACAGGCAGTTAAAGTTATACTACAACTGCTGTGTGTCATAATGAACTTCTAGGTCAAATTCTCAAAGTGGTGTCACTTAAGGACAAATACTGACTTCCTAATTATACCAAGCAAACCAGGTAAATCCTCTAATCAAGTAGCACGTGTAAACTACTAAGCAATCTAAAATACATCTTTAACTATGTTTTAAAGATGTATTACCAATAGAGCTATGATTTCACAGCTAAGGAAAAAAACAGTTTGTAAAACGTACTAAACAAGCAGGAGTTTGTGCACTCCACCCTCCATATACACACAGACACACATATTTCCCCTTTAACCTACTTTAATTTGCACTGCATGTCGCTGTGTAAAAATATTCCCTGACACCATTAAAAAGCTGACATAGCTATTAAATCAGGCATGGCAACTGAAAACCATGAGCCAGCACTTCTCGGTCAGAGCAGCTGGTTTTTACCTCAAGCTACACTGAGACACTGATCCAGAATTAGAGATGAAGATATGAACTGATGCTGAGGGTTATAATGGTGTATAAGGGGACGAAAGAAAACGTGCCTGGTGCAGAGTTATTTTATTAATACTGACATCTGAATCCTATCTAGAACCAATGGGAAATGGGAGATGCAGGGTTTCTAATCCCTTAGTGAAAACGACTTGCTGCTAAATTAGACAAAGCCAGATCAAACCTGAACTAGTTTATGCACGATGACTCAACAATAGCTCTGTGTGCCCTGAGCAACAGCTGACTCAACCTCAGCAATGCTTTGAGACATGCCCTGCCTGCCATGTTACCTGAAGGGTAAGCAGTGTGATGTGGATTGAGTATTGTCACTATAGTTTAAGTTAAGATTGTTGCTCTAACTGCAGATAGATATTCGCTCTGACACATCTGGATCCTAAACAGAGACACACGTCAAGCTGTTCTTTCCAAAACCACAGCCGTTAAAGTGCATCACTCTTTTTTAGGAGTGCATGTGGGATATGTTGCATAATTTCCTGACTTCATTACTACAAACTGTGAAATTCTTTTGTAGCAGCTGTATGTTGATTCAGAGTATATTTAACCAATGATTGTTGTGTTGGTTTACTGTTAATAAACCAGTTATGTGAAAAGACAGTCGCATACATTATTTAAATCAGCTTGTGAAGAATGTTCTTTGAAAATGTAAATCATTTTTTTTTAAAGGACTGAGTTTTAACTTCTCAGGGGTCCAAATTCTGTTTCCACACTGACGCACCCTAAGTTATGCAGGGAAAGCGGTTTCCCTAGCGTTGATACTAAGACATGTTCATGGAGAGTAACACACACCTGGATGGTGAGGGATGACCTCTCCACTGTACTCCGAACTGCCACAAGAGCTGCTACTGGATGTAGAGCCGATTCGCCCTGAAAGAGGAGAGAAAAATAGAGTTTAGCTTAATCACAGGGAGTCAACCAAACTAAAGAAGGTTAAATAATTCCAAATTCATTATCCAAGGATTGCAATGGACGGTTACTTCTTTTGACCCAGAGGGAAAACGTAATGTACTTGCATAATATCTAGCCGCTCCCTTAAGAGTGGTGGGGGCGTTCACATGGACACGAAAATTAAAAATCCTCTCGTCGTATAACCGCAACCCGAGGGGCCACTCTATGGTTGTAATGTAAGCTTTTGATTTGATTTACTAAGACAGCTTACAAGTCTATTTGGCACCTAAACCAAACCCATTTATAGAGGCCACCACCATCCCATATTCTGAAGAAAAATATGTGATCTCAAGAAGCTATCCAAGACATTGGGAGACACAGGAGGGGTGTAACCTTGAAATAAAAAACCAACTGCAACTTCCCCTTGAAGCACTAATCAAAATATATCTGGTTTTACATTCAAGCTTGAACGGATCATTACTAAACCCACGCAGGGTGGGACTTTATTTCACTGGCAAGGATAACCTATTAGCTACTCTTAGCGCATGTTCAAACGTGCGTACAAACAATCATTATGACACTAATGCTACAAGTATTAAAAACGTTACTCAGAGAACCAGATTATCGGCCCGAATATACTAGTCATCTTTTAAAAAGAGAAACCCAAGGTGACTCATTACATCTCAAATGTTAACCCTTTAAAGAGCGGAAGCTAGTAGGAATATAAAGTCGATCTTAGGGAAGGCAGACTCATAGTTAGTCACCAGACAGGAGGAGGGAGTCAGTTGTGAACATCTGCATTGGTGTGATAAGGGAATACAAAATGGAGAGACTCACTTCGATAGTAATCAGTGGTGGCCACGAGAGAACCGCCTGCTGGAATAGATGCCATTCTACTGTAGTTGGTCGCTGTACGCTGTGCTGGATGGAAACCTGGGGAGGACAAACAGTATGATCAACACCAGACAGCAATACATGGAAGAATACCCACAGCCAGAGGTTCAAAACAGGAAGAATGATGGTTTCAAATCACTACATGGGATGCAACTAATTATTATTATTAAGCTATATGTCATTATCTTGTCTAATCATAATTAACCAGTTGTAAAAATAAGGGCTTAACTTAACGTTGTTGTTTTGTGTCTATCCCTTCCTTAATGAATTGAGTAATTGTTAAGTCTATAAACTGCTGGAAAATGATGAATCAGAAAAATGCCTTTTTAATTATTCCAATGTCTTGTTCTGTCCATCCAATTGAACACAATCCATAAGAATTGTGATACATATAAAAACTGTGTATTTTTCTTTATTTTAATCTCTTCTAATGTAATAAACTGTGTGTGTGTGTTTAAGGTAAAGGGACTACATAAACAGGCACATGTTTGGCTGTTTTGCTTGATAAATTACTTCAACATATAATATCAAAATAGCATTTTGGATATTAGTCAATCGTCAAACACTTAATCTACTGGCGTTAATCCCTGCAGCGCTGACACAAAGGAACATGTAACCCATAAAAAAGAGAATAACATCCTGGAGTCCAGCTGTGATGGATGTAAAAACAAACAAACAAACAAACCTGAGGCTCCAAACAGTAACATCCACACACATTAAAACAAAATGCACACTAACTGCTCATGTCTGAAGGACATTGTACATCGTTTATATATATACACACAGAATTATTTGTTTCTTCCTCGCTAGAACATCACGTTCACACCTACACTACAATGACGACAGCTCATGTTTTGCAGGGGTCTTGTTTACATTAAACTGTCAATGCAGAAAACCGACCTTTTTACGTATAAAAGCAGAGAATATGAGTGCTTAGTAAAGTCTGTCTTGAAGAGTGTAAATGAACAAAGCAAAAACAGATGGCCCCTTTTCTTTCACACTGAGGACATTTTGTCTCGATACGAAGACAAAAACCAAATCATAACAGTGATGTTGACATTCAAACTGAGGGTCGACACGACGGCAACATCAGTAATAGGACTTTTAGTATGCTATGAATGACAAAAATACGAATACAACGAGTAAATACTACATACATAACATATATATATATATATATATATATTTTTTTTTTTAACAAAGCAGAGATTCTGCAACAGATCATAACAAACTAGCCTAGAATCGCTAGCTCGCCCACCACCAAAAACAGTGTTACCACCATTTTATAACCGGGGAAACCCTCACCTTTTTAGGAACCCAAACGTTCTTGATGTTCAGTAGCACCCAATTCAACTCAGTCGGCAAGGCTGGGGGAGTAAACGCTAGGCGACGAGGCCCATTTGAAAATAAGTGTTGGTTAAATGTAACCCTCCAAGGTCCGAGCAGAGATCAACGGATTGTTGTTGGCATAAACGGTCATCTCATGCTTTTATAGAGAGCCGGAGGGTGACGTCACATCATGCAGGGGGCGAGGCGTGTTCAATAACTGCCCATCTGTTGCGCAGGGATTGCACCACGAAGTGTACATGTGGTGTACATCCACGCTATACTCAATACTGTAGAAACTTTTAAACACAACAATTCAAAGTATTTTATATTACAACAAAAAAAGCCACAGTGGTGGAATATAGGGTTCATTTACTCAGGTATATTAAAGATTCAAAGGCTTTATATTGTCATATTCACAGTAGCTACAGTGTAGATATTGACATGCACGTCTTAAGACCTAGGATCCTTCAACAATGCAACATAAGTATAAATAACAAATAATGAATAAATGAAATATAGTAGAAGTAAGTAGAGTAGAACAGACCAGAAATTGAACAAAATAGTTGCAAGTGAGCAATGTGCAGTAATAAGTAAGCTATATACATGTAAAATATATTAATATGAGTTAAAAACAGAATGTTAAATTAATTACTGTACTGAACTTGGTACAAATATTCAGTACTAATCATTTTAATCGTATCGTTACTTTATGTGGCTTACTTCGTCATTTATGGTTTTCTTTATTTTTTCAATTTTACTGTACTTATTTATTTCCTCAATAGGCTCATTTGTATTTAATCTCTTTACTCACTTTAAAAAATGATACTTGCATTTTCCTGTGGGGATTAATAAAGGTCTATTTTATAATATTTGTAGCCTTTATTTTTATAATATTTGTAGCATACCTCATTGGAGTGTTTGTTGTTTTTGTTAAAGGATAGGGGTTATAGGGTAAAGACCAAAAAGAAGATTCATTTCAGTGACTTTTAATTAAAGTGTGACTGATACTGTCACCGAGTAGTATAGTAGTATATCCCAAACCACAGTGAGCATGACCCAGAGAAAACACACACCGTAATAAGAGCTCCCTCTGGTGGTAAAATCTACGAAATACATCTAATTTAAAATGTAATACAGCAGATTGAAGGACGCATACACGTGTCATGTTGTTTGCAAATTCATGTTTACAATCATCTTTTGTCAGTTTCAAGTTTCAGCACATAAAATAATAGATAACAGGTTTCAGGCACCCACTAACATGCGAAATATTTACAATATGAATATCGGTTATCTGTACCCAATAACCAAACAAAACGTAAAATTTACATTTGTTGATTTTCACTTCTACACTATGAAATCATACTTATCTGTCTTTTTGTATTGTAGAAATGATTTGCAACACATCGACCTAACAGTATCTGGTCAAAGTAAAGCCAAAACGATGTTCGTTGTCGGCAGGATTCGAACCTGCGCGGGGAGACCCCAATGGATTTCTAGTCCATCGCCTTAACCACTCGGCCACGACAACTGANCCGCAATCTTGTAAACAAACTAGGTTTGTTTGAGACGCGTGCACTCCACTATGAAGCCCTCTGTATCGCGAATGTCAACGGGGGTGGGGGGGGGGGTGCTAGTGGAGTGCACGCGTCTCAAACAAACCTAGTTTGTTTACAAGATTGCGGCGCGACTTGGTGATACCCTGGAAAGAAATCTCTGCGTGAGAAATACAAGGTGTGGCGTGTGAGCGTGTGAATGGAGTGAAATGCGAGACTTGAGAGCTCTGAAGAAAGACTACAAATCCCAGAGTCGCGCAAGTGATGTCATAACTGATGGCATAATTGTTTTCCTCCACTAAATATAAGAGATAGCTAAGATAAGATAACTTTAACAAGATGCCTGTGTGCTTTGTACCAGGTTGTAATCATACCAGCAATGGGTCTTGCTCGTTCTTTCGCTTCCCGTCTGATGAAAGGAGTAGGACCAGGAGTGGCTGGATCAAGTTAGCTACCTAGCTAGTAGCTAGCACGTTAGTTAGCATTACAGCCTTAGCCTTGTCATTTTTATTACATTGCATTTAGCTGACGCTTTTATCCAAAGCAATAAGTACGTTCGACCAACAAAATACAAACTTGAAGAAAACAGAATCATATAAGTAGGCTACATCAGGTTTCATAGAGCTAAAACATTTCATTTTAATATAAATTTCAAATAGGGCTACAAGTAACAGCCACCTTCATTTTCCACATGATCAACCAATCTGCCTGCCGTCCTTCAATTCAGTACCTTCATTTCATGATACTTTTTACTTCTACTTTACTTTGGAAGCCAATTTGAACCACTTTTTTTCTCCACTACATTAGATACTTTGCAGATCAAGATAAATACATTATGATGTATTATTATAGATTTTCATTAGTACACAATGTACTTTTATGTTCTGTTTTTGTTTGAAGTTAGATTTTGAATGCAGGGTTTTGCATAGTTTATTTGTAGTGTTTCTAATTGTATTTATCTAAAAAGTATGATTATTTCTCGCTGTCATTTGGCATGAACATTATGGTTATTTCCAGCTGTTGATTTAGTGGAAAGATGAGAAAACTCATGTTTGAGAGTTACATTTTTGTTCATTAAATGTTCTCTTTTTTGGTTGTCTAGTTTTAGGTGAGCTTTAACATTAGATGTATGCCTCTCACTCTTTTGGCATAAGACCCACCTGCTCCATGCTCTCATTAGGGCTAATTAGGGGAAATGGCAAGGCAGAAAGCAAACACAAACCAACCCAAAATGACAACTCCACAGCCTCCCTTTATCTCTGTACTTATTAAAGTTATCCTGACATGCGGAGAAACATCTCCCTGCTGACATTAGTGCAGCACAAATCCTGACACAACGATTTCCCCATCTGACTGTAAAATGGGTTTGTTTAAGCCCCACTGTTCCCTATTCACTCTCCGGTCTCCCTGTGTGTCTCTATGAAACAGAGGAAAGACAAACAATGCTGCCGAGTGGCCCCTCTGAATGACAGTGTGGAAAAGCTGAACAGAAGGTTTGTTCTGTGGCTCATTTGAAGAGCGAAGCGGCCGCTCGTCCTCAAACGCTGCACTTTTTCCAGGTCAGCGGGTGCTCGGTGGGTCGTTGAAAAGTGGAAGTGAAGGAGGAGATTTTCTGTCCTCTCTTTGTGGATCTCCACTTGTTGCCAGACTCTTCTGAGTGGCTCTCTTACACAACCTTTCCTTTACATCCTGTGTACTTTACAGTAGGCCTATAGTTCAAATCAGTGTATGAATAAAGCTGCATTGAATGATTATTCTTATTTTGAGTTTGGTATTTCATGATGAATTGATTGTTGTTTATTATTATAGAAAAAGTTGGAATTATGTGTTGTTTCGAACCCACAGTCAAAAACCATATTAATTCCAATAATACAAAAACGAGAAAAACAACATTTTGAACAGTATTTAGTATTTCTACTTTGTGAATGTCTCCATCATTCGTCAATGATTTCACAGAAAGTTCATAACTGATTTTACTGCATTATCATACATGAACGGTTTCATATCATACATTTTTCTTTCAGTTTCCTGCATACAGGGCTAGGGATGTCGACAACTTTAAAGGGCTTAGGTTCAAGTCTGATCTTGATTTGATGTAGGGGGACGTTGAATCCCAAAAGGAACTGTTGCTTAACTTGATGTTCTTAGTTACTCAACTGTATTCTGTAAAAAAAATCACATTAATGAAGCTGAACATGAAATATTTCCTGTCACTGTCAACAATTTGCTGATCAGAGTAGAAATTCAAGGGAACTGTTACTGCTGTTGCTGAGCAAGAGGAAACCTGCTTATTTCTTCACAGTAAAAACAAGAACTTTCACATTAAACATGAATAACTGCTTTCTGTGGGGAAAAAAAAGTTAAGCTTCACTTTT